AAGTTTAAGATTTATAATGGACACGAAACTCAAGGTGGCGTGCTTTACTTTCTTATTTTGAACGGTGCAGGTATACAATTGGACGCGGAAACCGCATTTAAAATCAAATTGTAAAGATCTCTCTCTAGACCATAATTTAAGAGTACGTAATTGAAACTGAAAGAATCAATTAGTAATTTAATTACAGTAGAAGCTCTTCATTCGCGGTGTATACGTTCCATAAATATGCCGCGAATACAGAAACCGTGGATATACAATAGAATGGTAATTAGTACTTATGGAATCATAGGGAATACGTTCTAAGGTTCCAAAATAAAACCAATATGTATCAGAATAAAATCAATTTATTGAGAAATTCGCAATTAAAATTAATCGTTATAATCACATTTAGACAATGGTTTAAAAAATTTAGTGATTTTTTCTTGTGTTGAATTTTGAATTAGTCCACTCGGTCACATATTTTATAAAAGTCGCCTCGGCACGAGTCAACAGTACTTAAAAGATGCCGATAAGTTAAAAAATAATACCGAATCCTTCTCTGTATACTCGGTTACATCATTTATAAAAGCTGCCTCGGCACGTACCAACAGTACATACTCAATAGATGGCGATACATTAAGGGGATTCAGTAGTACATGCGACGTAGAGTAAAAACATGCATATCGCTTCTAGATGTCATGAGTTTAATGTTTAGAACAGAGGTTTGAAATTTTCTAGTAAGATAGACACAGCTTTCTTCTAAAGCCTGTCGAAGGCCACTTTTTAGTTTTTTAATTTCTATCGAAAATACTTGTCCTACAAGAAACACCAACTTTAATCACTTGTAAGAGCTTTTAATGACCGTATTATTGAAAACCAAAAACGTACCGTGTTAGTGTGAACCTTTATCTGTTACTATACAAAAAAACATATATATCTCGCAGCGTTAAAGTTATGTTTATGGACAATACTAAACTTGATACCCAGCCTCTCATCGCGCAACGATCCCTGCGTTTTCTATTCTTTATTGTTCATGAAGCTTTTCTAATTCTAAAGTTCTTGAATGAACATGTACCTATATGTACGGTATTTTTTAAGTTTCCTGTAACCGTAAGCTTTTCTAATGATATGTCAAACAACATACAAAAAGGTTTGAGTATTATGTACAAAATTAAAAGAAATAGAAGTAGATCTAGATTAGATTACTGTTCACAAATAGTTATAAATGTGGGAAATGCGAAGATTAGCTTAGGATAGGAATGAGTGGAGATGCGTGTCCAACCAGTCTTAGGACTGACGAGCTTATGACGTTGACAACATATAATTTGCCTTTTTTATAATTTTTGTGAGATAAATACTGCAAAGGCCTTTTTTACGAGAACCAAGTTTTAAAGACGAATCCGTTTGGTTATTAGTCCTTACGTTCCATCTTATTGTTTGAATTGTAATTTTGTAGAAATACATCGTAACAGTCATTTTGTAGCAACTTAAAAAAATATGTGTAATTGTTAGCTGTTTACGTCGTTGCAGAAAGATGTCGCTTTTCTCTGTCTCATATTATACGTACACGTACATGTGAATCCAGTCTTGGTCTTTATCTTGGTCTTACTAAATGTGCAGATCCAAAACAAAACTGCAAGATCAAAGACTATTTTCACTCAGTACTAATTTGCATAAGGAATTTCAAGCAGCGATTCCATATTTCTTTTACTGGTTAATTATTATTTGACTTTTTTGATCAATGTCTAAACCATTGTATACCTACTTGCAATCTTACTTTCAAGAGACTCTATTCAGTAAATGATTAATGGCTTGTGTAACAAAAAACCCTTTCTTTTGTTTTTTACTCGAATTTCTTTGACAACAAAGTGAAAATTAAGGTACTTTAACGGAAAACCGCGTGCACCAAGCCATTAGACCTTTAAAAGTCAACGTGGAAAAAAGAAATACAGTTTCGAAACAGTCATTTGAAGTCATCCAATCGTGTCTAAATCCGAAGCAGGGACTTTGTTACTGGCGTTAACAAAACAAAAAATAAACTCGAACTTGGTTACCGACAGTTTCCATTAATTGAATTTCGAATCGAATTTAAATCTGCTTAAACGTCATGATTGGAAAAAAATTAAACACGAAATTGCTTTATCCCGTACGATACCAGATATTGAGTAATTAATGGTTTATCATTTAGTCAAATCTTACAAATTGAATCATTTGCCTTTTTTTGTTTTCGAAAATGTGTTAAAATTTTACAAGATCTAACCAATATTGAAATTGAAAAAAAAACAACTGAGTAGATTTTTTATTTATACAATATTTGAAATTACTACAAAATTATTCATTCGTCTTGGATGGGGGTATTGGACATTGTGTTTCTGGAACCTTTTCGGAAGAAAGTGAGCGCGCGCGAGCGCGTGTGTGTGTTGTGTGTGTGGGGGGGAGGGGTGCGTGTTCTCAGTAGCATAAAAGAACCTGGAACGACGCGGTAACATTAGTTTTTAATTTCTTAATTATTGTACTTGGAATGTTGCAGCTGCTGTGACACACAATAATAAGCAGTAATGAAACACTCACTTGTGGTAAAGTGGAATTGAAGTCAAGTGCGTACTTTTTGTTCTAGGTTGTTGACTTTAAACTTAAAAGATTATAGAACTCTACATGCATTATGTTACTTAATTATCTCTTTAGAAACTTGTTATACTAACGTAGTAAAATATCTTTGTAGTAGTTAACACAGGGATCAATTAGGTTTTAAATATTTTGCTACTCCATTATGGGTCTCTGACTTACTGAAGATAATCTAAATGCAACATTTATAATGGTAACGTAACGTACGTGATGCATAACATGTTAGATGAAGTTAAGGTCAATCTTCAGCTTACTAGATTGGTGAAGCTTTTTTGAAAGCTCAGATCAAAACCTTTAATGGTTCGTCTAGGTTAGGCAAAAGGTGGGTAAAAATTCCACCCTCCCCACAGCAGTTTTTCCTACTCGATGGTGATGTACTTCTTTGCGCACTGGGAGTGTTAACATTAAGCTAAACTTATCTGATGGATAAACTGGTATTAATTAATCAATATTTTCATTTTTATGTACGGTACGTTTTGGTGCTGTTTTAGATGATTTTGTATGTGATGCTGTTTTG